ATACATTTTTATTTTACTTTATCAGGTCTCTATAACATTTGCAAAATAAAACAAATTTAATAATACAACTGAACCTAAATGTATGTTGTAATATCCTTAAGTTGCTGAGTGCGGCATTAGACCATAAACAAAACATAATATCTTTAAGAATTATGTTAATAATGTCGATGCTCAAAAATAATCTCCACAATATCGATACCTCTTTCTCTATGTTTAATGTGAAACATAATAACTCTTTTTAATGATCTGAAGGAATAATAATTACAATAATATCAAAATAATATCATCATTATTTATGTTACTTATCCTCAACTGAAGTAGTCCTCAACACTATACGTTCAGAGAAGAAACCGATGAACATATTATCAATGTAACATACATTCATGGAAATAAGATGAACAGTTGATTGAACAAATGATATTATTCGGTCGAACATCTATCAGCCAATACTACATTATTAAATTGTGAGACTGCAGTGATTTTTTCAAGGCTACTCTCATAAATGTCATGACTCATTTGAGGCCAGGGTTCTTCTATACTCGCATTAATGTGCTGACTTATTATTGCGTTAATTTCATGATTTACAGTATTCATGAAGAACATTTCACATGGGACCAACAGAGGGAAATATGACTATCGACTATTTTTGTATATTTAGCTAGCTCAAACGATTTATTGGTTTGATTTATTGTTATGGTATCCACGAAATAAGTTGGATCCGGGTTTTTTTTCGTTTTTGTTGTTCTTTGTGTAACGCCACACGTAGCAATATTCCAGTTATATGACGGTTGTCTGTAAATAATCGAGTCTGGACCAGACAATCCAGTGATTGATATCACGACCACCGATCCACGCAATTGAGATACAATGACATGCATCAACAAAGTCAGCGAGCCTGACCTCCCGATCCCTTTAGTCGCCTCTTACGACAAGCATAAGCATGACTTGCTGTAAATCTATTCTTAACCGGATTTTCAAAGGTCAAGTGGGATTCAACTGATATGTTAAGATGAAATAAAACTGAATTATATGTGCTGTTTACATATTAAAGTTTGCCAAATTGTTACAAAATGTTTGGCCACAGCAAGGCTACGTATTCACAACTTATTGTGGTAGGCACAGAATAACTCATGAGTCAGGACTGAGGGAGGGCCGTATTCCTCCTTGTGGGTCACCTGCTTGCATATTGGCAATATGGGACGGGAAAACTACAGGGGGTGAGGGCAGTTAAGTTGATGGTACAGACAGATAACAGAGATCATTTTACAAATGTGAAACCTCATTCCACAAAGGAAAAGGCGAACGCTGAAACTTGGTAAGATTTACAGAAAAAAGGCAGTTATTTCTAGTTTCTTACTGACTCTCGAGGATACATTTAATAAAACTTCGTGTGTGCGACACGGCCACCAGTCAGTAAATTTGGGTCACAATCATTCTGTCTTCTTTCATTTGTCATCTGAAATCCCTTCGTGCACTTGTGCTTCCTACTCAAGTTACCAAACACATCCTGTTTACGTACACATGCAAAATATATATTACGCCGAGGAGAATTTACGATTATACGTTGATACGTCTAACTGCTGGCGTGGTACGCAATGTCATATTTCTCATCGCCAGGGATCACAGGTGTGATACCAGTCTCCCTCAAGGAGACGTCTGATTAAACTCTTTGCTTCGTCAATGCTTCGTCTAGCCCAAACCGGTAACTGGTACCACTAGCAACGATACAATAGCGTACACAGACTTACAATGAGTCAAGCATCCGTAACTCGATTTCCATTTTGATTGATTGTTTGATTGATAGATTGATAGATTTGAGTGAGTGAGTGAGTGAGTGAGTGAGTCAGTGAGTGAGTGAGTGAGTGAGTGAGTGAGAGAGTGCCTGTTTCACTGGTATGTCCGGATCTGGGTACGGGTCAGCGGCTTAGCGTCACCGATCTAGATATTTCTATGCAGAAATAGGTCATCCATGCGGATAGCGTAATCTTGATTAATATATTCAGGAACTTTTCGTGAACAACATTTTTTGAACATTCTTCCGAAGAATCAATCAACTTTAAGATTTGGCTTCTGTGGTGGAATCATTCTAATATTTCACATAACCGTTAACGTACTTCTTGAATGTTGTCACGCCATTCCTTCAGACAGATCTCGAAGATATGTTAATATCTTTGCGAGGACAGCGGATTAGATATCGCGAGGCCGGTTCACAATCCGTAAAAGTCTGTGATTACCATGAATAGCCCATTGCATCTCGTATATACGGTACCACACAGAGATTAACGAAGGGCATCTATTTGATCAGGGGTTATTTAAAAATCTATAACAGCTGTGTGTCAGTATATCCAGTTTCTGTCAGTGCAGAAAAATACCAAGTCGGTCAGCTGTGAACACGGTTCTTCAGCATCGGACATCAGCTGTCTTTGACACGCACATTTCTGCGCATTTGAAGCTACTGAGAATGCCCCCTGCAGAGTTGGACGAGCATCCAGAGGCTATCAGCAGTATTTCCTGTCCAGGTTATTTAGGTCCGTTGTGTGTGTGTGTGTGTGTGTGCGTGCGTGTGTGCGTGCGTGCGTTCGTTCGTTCGTGCGTGCGCGTGGGTGTGGGGCGTGGGGGGTGAGAACGGGTGGATAGATGATGGATTCAACAAATAAGGTCATCTTGAGCGGGACGGTTTTCGTAGGCAATAGGTGGATTAGCATATGAACTATGATTCTTTTAGGTAGAAAAAGATCCACGATGTTCGACCTCGTAGAAGTGTGTAATCAAACCGCACAGCATTGGTCTTTGATTGACTGTGGCGTCAAAACAAACTCATTCATGTACTTGATCTGAATGTTCATCTTAATTGTAATGGATAGTCACGGAGCCGTGATCCAGAGAACAGGGTGTCATAAAATAAAAATGAAGTAATAATAGGATTACCAGAAAAACGGGGTATAACGCCCAAGCCAATAACCTCCCCTCAGGAACACCAGAGTAAGTCAGTACAAGATTGAAAACTGCCCCATAAGTATGTATGACAGGCTAGTCGGGTATTGCTACTTGTATATGTGAAAACAAAGTTATTAAAATTAATAGCAAAACTGATGAAAGTCACCAATAAACGTGTATATGTGTTATATCGTCACTGCAAAAATAATGAGTGTTGTCTTTAGTATTAACATTCAAATACGTGATATCTATATTAGCGATATTGTCTACGTTCCGCCGGTGAGTAAGCGTTAGCTAACGCTTACCATCTCGTAGTATAAATGTTGCAAGAAATTGTATTTCTGAAGACATCACGATACAGTTTTTTACGATGCATCACGTCTGCACCAGCGCTTGATAACAGCCTTGTGTTTGGGTGTTTCAGTAGTTTAAATTGCTGTTCGTGATGTTGAATAAACTTTGATACTATGAACATTATACGGTTATATGAGAGTATGACTTTAGAATGGTAACATGCGTTAATGTATATCTGATATAAATATATATATATATATATATATATATATATATATATATATATATATATATATATATATATATATAATAGGATGACATAAATAGAACAATGAGTAGTACGTCCAGATTAGTGTATAGGCAACATTTAAAAGTAGATGAAAGAACACAATCGTCCGGAATACAATGTATAATTCTGGTGCACTTCCATGTGACTATATAGCATACAATAAGCTATCGGGTCCCGTTTGGGTCGGTTTGGGTGGCAGCTTAGATATCCATAGATTAGGTTCATCTCGGAATCTCCCATATAACTGGGGCTCCTCTTCAATTTAAATGGAGTTACTTGTTTCTTTCAAAACTATACAGTTTTAGAGAATAAGCATTTGTCTGAATAGATATCACCAGTTTGGAATTTGAAACTAATCTGTTTATAGTAACAGAACACTGTTTATGTGTCATGTACAAATGAGAAAGTAGAATCCCGTCAATTAGGCGGACGAACCTTAAAACTATTAAGAAACATTAAAATAAGCAATATCGGGAAAATGTATATGCATATACTATCTGGCAATAAACACCAAGATCACCTTCTACAAAATTATGTTTTAAGAGCCGGTTGGTATTTCTTTGCGTATTTGACGAGTATATAACTTTCGAAAGTATAAATCCTTTTCCTATACTCAGACGTTCCTGAACCTTGCGCTTTCCTAATTATTTTGACTAAGTCATTACCGTTATCATTGTATTTGTTAATGGGAAATACGCGCCGATCAAGTACGTGCCATAAATTAAAGCGACATTGTACAATTCCGAACTCATCACGAGACTGTGTTTATGAATCACTGTCAAATAGTGGTGACATATAGTGGAAACAATACGCGAAATCGCGCATGCACAGAAAGGAACATTTGGACAAGGCATTAAGCAATCCGCATGCGTAGAACGATTGATTTCAGTACTTCCTCTAAGCGCTTCGAGTACAGCGTCAAACTCGGGCCTGTAATCTAACACGCGAGAACTGACCAATGAAATCTGAGAAGTAGGAATATCGGTAGACGCTGTTGCTTGATTGACAATGCCAATCAAGAAAGGGAGGAGCTTGATGATATCGTTCTCCCACAGTAAATTCCGATGTCAAATAACGACGTTATTTGGACGGGAAAACGATGGTTTGAAAGCGTCCAAATAACGTCTTTTTTCCGTCCAATGACCATATACGGAAAAAACGACGTTTTCGTGTTTGCAGTGTCAGGTCATAAGTTTATGTTTGACATTATAAGCATTAGACACGTTTGTGATGTGTTTTATTGGTGTCAATTATATGTGATACTTTGTTTCACTGTGACAGTTTTCATGATGAAACCTGCTAACACAGTCGTGGCCCAGACTCTACTTCTACTGACAGTGTCACTCTGCGGTCAGTCAAACACATTCATGGGGATAATGTTATTTTTCAAAAATAGATATAATAGGTTTATAATTACTTTATTATTAATGTAAATCAAGCTATTATTCTGAAATAGAACACTTCAGCAATGTCAAAACTAATGGTAAAGATCGAATCAAACAGTGTACTTTGACACAATTGACAAAAGGGTTTGACAAAAAAAGTTATTTTTATAATATATATTCTTAATTGCTTTCTAGATCACGCAACGTTTTAACGTTTTAATTCAACATTCTTTTTTCTCCACAGTCTCCGCTATACTCATCTGCCCAAACCTTAGTTATCTGGAAACAGTTGTGCAGTTGATATGTACAGGGGGAGGTGTTTTACACTCGTATATCAACCCCAGAGGTGTTGATGTTGCACAATGTCCACTGTCAGGTGGACCGTGTGATCCTTTGGACGCTCCGGTGACTGTAATCAACAGCACTCAGACTATCTTTAACATACCCAGTGTACAGATAAAAGATGTAGGGACATGGTCGTGTAAACCTGGACGTGAAGCTCCTGGTACATGTAATCTGACTGCTGCAAGTAAGTATAAGTGAAAGTTGCTACATACTGACCGTGTAAACTCTCTAACTGTACAAATACAACTGATATTAATGTTGTTTATGGCTTATGAATGTCTCAGTGTCTATGTGTATATTTCATTGGAAGCTTAGCTCCGGGTAAAGAACCATGTTCATGTTAAAGGGAACAAGGGAACTTGCCCGGAATAACTATGTCCTACTAACAATAAGGTAAATTATGATGAAAATTATGTTGATGATGCGAACGTATTTCAACACTGAAATAAGATATTAAAAGAGTTTATTTAATCTTCAATTCTGGGTCCTATATATGTCATTAGAATGGTAGATAATGTTGCCTGAGTGAAGTATGAAGCCGAAATGGGTCTGTGCCTGATTGTCATCGTAAGAAGAGTCAGTAAGCCCGGATTTGTCCTGGATATCTATGGAACCCTAGGTGGGACAAAGTCACGTTTACAGCATTGCCGCGTGGTCGTCCTTACAAACAAATAGCAACATGTGTCAAAATTAACCACAGTGTGGCAGTGCGAAAAAATGACATTTTGACCATTTTGTCGCATAGATAAGCTTTGAATAATGTTTTCGTTTTTACTAATCCTTTAAATATTAAAATATTTTATTTTATCTTTAATTCTGGGTCTTTTATACGTCAGTGTGGCAGTGCGACAACATGGTGGTTTGACTATTTTGTCGCATTGTCGTGCTTTGAATAATGTTCTTGTTTTTACTTAATGCCGATAATGTCCCTAAAGGGACAAAATATGTGATTTTGTCGCATTTTCGCCCCAACTAAAAATGTGAAAGAAACTTGTAAAATACTCCCAAATGCGACAATGCGACGAACTGATAACGTCACATTATGTCACATTATGCCACATTATCTCATTGTCGCCAGTTAATGGTGCGCACGTCTAGTAAGTGAATTAATCTAAGGCAGAAATGGTTGTCTTCTTGTTATCATACTCCAATGATTTTAACACCAATGTAAATCATTTTGGTTGGCCCAGTCGATTCAGATGGCGCAATTCGACGTGCAGAGTTGCTTCCCTTGGCGGACCAGAAAACTACGATTATGAGTTCGATTCCCAGCTTAATATGCCGGCATCACTTCACTTCGGGCTTTTCTCCCACATCAAGCGGAAACGCCATGAAATAACTGTCATACTGTTCAAAGCGGCGTTAAATCAAACTCGCTCCCGCCTTCAAATCGACAAATTCACTGCAGAGGTGCGTTCCACAAACGTATCAGAAACCTATGGTCGTGATTATTTCTTGGTTTGTCAGCATGTTTATTTCACCAAAGTGGCAAAGCCGAAGAGCCCTACCTTTTCCTCCCTCCACAAGCTGACACGCAGAGATATAACTGTTCAAAATGGCGTTCAACAATACTCACTCACTCACTCAAGATATCCCTTTGATAAACTGTTTAGAGAGCTTGGCAACTTATGTTTTTGAGATGTTTACATTCTAATGCATTCTAATACATCAAACATCAGATAGCATAAGACCATTTAACCCGCATATTTACATCTTCTTCACGAACGCATGGGTGTGCATTTGTTATTGTTGTGACTGAGTTCGATCCCTGGCTTCTTCTTAACGCTTTGGTAAACCTAAAATAGACTGAGTTTACATTTTGGTTTAAACCTGTATTAGAGAATAGGTCCCAAGCATCGTATCCTTGTCGTAAGAGGCGACGAAATGGATCGGTTGTTGTTGGATGTAGTCGTACCCCAATTGCATGGATTGATGCTGATGCTGTCGATCACTAGCATGTCTGTCCAAGAGTCGGATATTCATAGTCCGCCCTCAGCAGGAACATTGCAGAGTGCAGTGTTAAACCATAAACAAAAACACCTAGATATGTTTTTGCTATTACACTGTTATATGGCGGTGTGTTTACTAGTTGAACAATAATTGTGGTTGTGTTGCGTTGTTTCTGTTGAGATTCGGTAGACGCGCATTGCATTGTGTTTGGGCAGTGACTAGTCGTCAGGAATGTGGTGCCATTTAATCTAAGCAGTCATCAGGAAATTACTATATTTAGATGCTTGTGTGGTGTGTGAACTTCCAGTGATCGCGGACGGTGATAGAAACATATTATATATACACTGAATATTGTACTATAACTCTATTGTGTACTGCCGTTGTACTTGCTGTGCATTAATTTGTATTGTTTTGTAAACTTGGTGAATGTTGTAATACGTTTGTTTATTGGTTTCACACTAAGATCTTTTACGTACTGGTTTCTAGGTTAACATTTTTTTCAATTTGGGAATCGACAGGTAATTCCACAATCCATATGCACACAAAGGCGGTCAAAGAGTTATGTCCACCTCAAACCTCTGATAATTTCCATGTCAACAGTAATTTTCTATTGGAATTATATTTGATTCTGTCAATATATGTCAATGAAACAAAATCACTTTTCAACTCTACTTTTTCAAACTGTGAACACACAATGCCATTTAGAACGTGGTCCAATGTTAACCCAAATATAACATGTGTTACATTATTCAAACTGTGTTTTCATTCTACCGTTGTATTCAATGTTTCAGAGACACCAACATGCAACATCACCAGTAAGGAGGACACTGACGACCTTGCCCAGTATCAGGAGCTGACACTCACAGTGGACATACAAGACTACTACTGTTCCACAGCCCTCACCTTCTCACTCCAGACCGGGAATGTGACAACACTGCTGATGGAAGCTGATTCTGTAGCAAGTGTTTCTCACAACACTTTTTCAGTAACCATGAATGTGACGGCCTCCCACCTGGGGGTTGTAGGACTGGTATTCAATTGTCATAACAGTCAATTGAACCTAACCTGTGATGGTCTGACTGAACTCAGTGAGACTTTTACGTTATTTCAAAGAAGCAAGGAACCTGATTAGTAGGCTTGAATTGGTACAGGTCAACACCACAATTACAGTTTTTGTGCAATTAAATGAATTGATGACGACAATTTTATAAAATGTTAACATCGCAGTCATCATTTCCATAATTTGAAATCAGTTTATTTCAAGACACGTGCCTTCTTAATAAAAGTCAATATCTTCTTATAAAAAAAACAACTATTGTGAAATTGTCCTCGTTGCACGTATATACAAAAAAATATGTAGCTCATAAATAGACGATATCAACGTATTCATTTCTTACATCTACCTTTTCAGTATCTAACAGGTAGCTACATCTGTTTCAGAGACTCCAACCTGCAGCATATCAAGTGACAAGGACACTGACAGACTTGCCCTGAATGAAGAGCTGACTCTCTCAGTGGACATTATTGGCTACAACTGTCCTGTTGCATCCAACTTCACTCTACAGACAGGGAACGTCCAACAATTACTGAATGTCAGTAGTGCCGGGGCTGGCATTGATCGTGCAACACCAACCTTTCATGTGACCAAAACACACCTGGGTGCTGTTAGGCTGATATTCCACTGTCAACAGAAACACTGGAATCTGACCTGCGATGGCATAACGAAACTCCGTAAGATTCCATTAAGAGTCTTAAACGTAACAAAGCTCAGGGGCTGACAAAATTGAGAATGACTACCGTATTGGTTCGTTGGAAGGTTTTGGAAATATATTCGTCGATCATTTTAATTGGATAGTATATTCGGGAATGTTACCTCATGGCTCTCTGGCTCTGGCTCCAGATCTGTCCCGAACGCTTACAAACCTATTACAATACTTAGCTGTTTTGGAAACCTTTTCACCACTGTTCTCATTACTAGATAACATAATTTCCTGGAGATAAATAATGTCTTAACCCCAGCACAGACTGGAAAGGGTTATTCTACAAATGCTAACATCTTTGTACTTAATATGCTCATTCAAATTCTTAACCAAAGTAAGGAAACATTATTCTCCGCTTTTAATGATTTTTCAAAAGCTTTGATAGTGTGTGGAAAGTTGGGTTATGGTATAAAGTACTAAAATACAGTATTCAGGGTACATTCCTCCACTTAGTACAAAATATGCATGTAAATATAAGATCAAGTGTGTCTGTAAATGGTGTTGTATTAAATTATTTCCCGTGTTATCCGGGCGTGCGGCAAGAAGAACATTTGTCACCTACTAATTTGTCTCTGTAGCAATGTTCTTGAAACAAAACAACCAAAGTAATTATCTTTGGAAGCGGGTCGTCAAAAACAGAAGGATATAATTTTATTTGGAGAATATGGAAATTGATATCTTACACAACTTTACGTACTAGAAACAGAAATTTCAAATCCAGCAATAAAATGTTTAGCAGAGATTGCATCTAAAGCCATGTTCTGTCTTCTAAATAAATCGATAAATTATATCATTGATAATAATATGTATTATTATCATGTTAAGAAAACGTTTTTCCTGTACCCCCGTGTTTGATTATTGTTGAACGCCTTCCCAGCAACATTCCAGTTGTATCGCGACAGTCTGTAAATAATCGTATATGGACCCAACAGTTAAGTGATTCACAACATCGATCTACACAACTGGAAAAAGATGGCACACAACAACCAATTCAGCGAGCCTACCAGTGCTAAAGAGCAATTCGAAACCGGATCTTCACTGGGGTAGATTGTAGATTGATTTCAATCCATGTCAAAATATCAATGGTTATACGACAGGGACATATCATTAAAACATGAAGGGTACATTGTTTACATCAGTATATTGTCAAGGTCTATTTTGGTGCTCCGGTAAACACTACTGCTGTGCGTGTACTCGCATATTGTGTATATATTCGTTGTTGATACTATAATAGAGCTACCATTTCAATCCATACAAAACACGCAACATGCATAAGGTGGACGCATGCCCCAATTCCTGCATATGCAAATGCAACTTGTGTTCTGTTATTAAGGGAAGTGTATCTAAACACCCTTAAAACGTTGCAGAAACCAAAACAGCTGCTCTCCCAGAAAATGATGGACCAGCCACAGCCTCCACTCCAATTATTGCTGCCTGCGTTGTTGTTGCGATAGTGTGTTTCATCATCGCCGTCATCATCATCGTGTTTCTCGTCAAAAGAAAGCAGGTAAAGTAAATAAAAGCACAGCCATCACTTAAGCCTCCTTCGCCTCCTTACATCACTGTAGGGGCTCCCGGAAGTTCAGCTTATGCTACCGTGGAGCTGAATGATGCTCCAAGTGGATCAAAGAACATAACTGTTATAGATGCAGGAGCTTATGCATGCACAAGGGACTTCGTCAATAATGCTGACATCAGATCAAGTTCGCTAAGGAAGGATGGATCACACGAGTTGTCATTACCGGCAACATCCACAGCCAATCCTAAAAATGACCTAGGTGTAGTCGTACAGCACATTATTCCCGAAGATAATACAAGTCAAAACAATGAGCTATATGCCTCTATTAACAAAACGAAGGACATGACAGTGCATAATGATGACACAACAATCTGATAAGTTGTTTTATATATGGCGAATATTTGAATAACCTGATCATATGTTCTGCTGTTTTCTGAAATTTCTGTTTCAAGTTTCGTGTGTATTTAAACTGATTTTCCAGTAACATGTGCGGAACCACCTCAAGAGACCGTTCATTTTCTAGTCAGTCATGGAACAATTTGCGTCTGATGTTACACACGCAGAGTTACCAGACTGAAAGTATAGGCATTATCTAGGATTCGAATGTACCACCTTGTATAAGGTACAGAGACAGGCGATTTGATGTCTTGAAGAAATTCAACAAAGCATCAATCTGAAGTCTGTCAACTTATTCCGACAAAAGATTATGTCTTACTGATCAAGGTATTCCTTTAATAAGTGACAATTATGACCTGGGTATGCTATTCATGACAAACACCCTTTCGTTTCTGATCATTGCAATATAAGTTAAACTGTGTCATTTATTCTGAAATAAGTAGTTAATCTGTGAATACTGTGCCATTATCCGTTAAATATACTGAACCGCAAAAGAAACGTCACCCTAAGTAACATTGCATGAAAAGTTGTCATTTAAATATCTGGGTAATTTTGGTCAAAGTTTCTAAAATTTAACAATACCTTGTCCGGATAAATAAAATTTGATGATAAAAAAAAGCAGATAACAATAAAACCGATCGCCCAAAAGCACCATGGCAACGGCAATGGTAATGGTAACCCGATGCACGTGAGTTTCGTGCAAACTGAAATGCACATGCGTTCCCCCATTTCTTGCCCTAAAAAAATCCACCCAGATCGGATAACACTCATTCGTTATTGAACTGCTACCACATGCCAAGATTGACAAGAAATCAGCGACACGAAGACCTTGGGCGATAGCAAGCGGGACAAACCGCTCGGCAGGAAGCCAATGCATTTGTCCACATAAGGACCATATACAGGCTCCAGTAACTGTACCAGACCCCCAACACTACAGATGACCGACCACATAGTGGAAGGCCAAGGGTCACCACCCGACGTCAGGTTTGTCAGATTGTGAGACAGCATCTTCAAGATCGCTTTGTTACTGCTGCAGAAGCTCCTCGACAGACCATGGAATCACACCAGTGACACATTAGTACTGACACCGTGCGTCGACGATTGAGGAGCACACCTCCACTGTCACAGGCCACACCAAGGACCCATTCTGACACCACGTCATCGCCGGGATGGTCTTCAGTGGGCATTACAGCACCAGCGTTGGAGCCATCAGCAGTGGAGAAGAGTCCTCTTCTCAGACGAGAGCCGTCATTGTATCTCAACAGAATATGGCAGAGAGAGTGTCTGGCGACGTCGTGGGGAACGTAGTTTGGATGCTTGTGTTGTTGATAGACGGGGGGGTGGTCCGAGCATCATAGTGTGGGGTGAGGTTGGTCTTGCACAGAGGGCCGGCCCTGTTGTCTCCCAGAAATTCGGTCCAGGGAGAGGCAATGGTGTCCCAATGGCGTGCAGTTCGGTACATTGATCAAGTCTTGAGTCCACACGCCATACCTCATTTGGCACATCACCGCAAGACCGAGTTTCAGCATTATAACGCTCGTGCCCACACTGCGAGAGCAACGAGAGACTTCCTCAAGCAGAATGGCATCAGAACGTCCGACCAAGGCCGACAACTACAGCTGAACTGTGTTAAGCGTTCCTCAGAGTGTGGGCTCAAGTGCCTATGGCCTTCATCAACCGCCTCATCCATTCCATGTATCGACGTTGCACGGCAGTCATCAATGCACATGGCGGACACACGAGATACTGACTCGTGATGCCATTTTCTCAGTGACTAGTGTTGTGTTTCACTTTCAGAACATCTGACATTATAATTTCAACCTTGATGATCAGTTTTTCCAAGTTTTATCTTTTTAGTATGTCTCAAAGTATGTTTACAGTGTTTGGAAAAATAACAATGTGCATTAATAAGATTGAATGGTGGCTGCATTGAAAAAATATACATGTTCAGGACAACAATACCCTATATACAGTTGTATATATATTACATATATGTCGACGTGGAGAAGTCACTAGCTCGCCGGTACATGGGCTATTTATTTTCTTTTGTTTTGTCGTTGGATAAAACAGGTGACAAGATCAGAAGACACACATACATATGATAAACTAGATGTAACTGTGTGACAGGGTAAACGGAGGGTCGCAGCCGGATATCCCACTTCTGACCACACTGTACACCAGGCTGAGGACAATGTTGTAGTCGGCTCGGGAGGATCTGCTTCTGGTGATGATCAACAAGGACCCGGATTGCGTATTAACCCTGTGTACATCCCCACTACAGTAGGTGGCAGCCTGGAATCCTATAACGGCACAGTAACAACAGGGACATCCACAGAGACAGGTGTGATGGGTAGGTTGACGCCTCTACTTGCCACAAGTTTCACATTCCAACTTCATGTAGGGTTATCATACCAACATTGCCAATACTGCCTGTGGGCCTTATGATGCTTAAAATACAAACTTAGACACAAAATCCTCTTCTGAGAATATCAAGTTTATCAACCTAGTTGTAACCTTAGCGATTTCAGGCTAAAAAAGAACGTGTTGTCTTGCATCGGCGTCCAAACAAGATTCCCTGTTATATGTACATGTATGCGTTGTTATGCATGTTATACAATGTTCGTCACATAACATTGTAGTATTGGGCCGAAAACAAAGTGTACACAGTTGTCTTTGTTGCTATTTTATAACTCGAGTGACGTCATCCTATTGTCTTTACGGGGCCTAAATTCATCTATGAATCTCATAAAAAAAATCATTGAAATCCCCGGCATTCCATTAGGAAGTCTGGTCTTGCCATCAGAATACTACGGACATTCTGTAGGACCGTGGACATTCTGTAGGAATGAAGGATTTCACGGATTTTGTCTGCCCTTGAACGTCTCACAAAATAGTGTTACGTCAGCAAAGATCAATAAATCATATGTTTTAATAAGTAACTAGCGTTGATATTTATTTGACTCGTTAAAAGTCACGATTTGTTTCACTTCAAAATCATATTACTTCAATCGAACCTGCAACTTCACATGTCTTGTTTCGTATTGTAGCCCACTGTATGGGTGATGGAAGTATGTTCAATCTTACATGTCACTGACTTCAGTTGGCTGCTTGCTGCACATGGTCTTTCTGTTGCCCGCTGTCATCGAAGTCGTTTTATACCGCAACTACACTATTGTTTAACTATAAGTGTCTCGAATATTTCTTATTCTTTCTCGTATTTATTGCCTTTTTTTAACCCTAAACTCAATAACAGTTTTAGTTAATATGTTTATGGCAAAACATGGAGGTCAATAGTGATATGGGTGCATTATCGATTTGCGATTTGCATCCATAGTGGATCAAAGTATGAGTTTATCTTTTCATTTACATCAATTTATTAAAACAATTTTTCTTGTTTTTAAATTCTATTGCACATGTGATATGATTTGTTTGTATATTTTTGTTGACTATTTAACGCCACACATAGCAATAGTCCAGCTATGTCACGTCTATGAATAGTCGAGTGTGGAGCAGACAATCCATTGAATGACATCATAGGCAACCCAACTGACATACAATCACGTAACGGAGCCTGACCAGGCCTCTTACAACAAGCATATACATATACGACGTTCGGGCCCAGTTCTAACACAGACTCCCCATGAGTGACACTAACATGAAACTGTTTATCTACTATTTGTTTGGAATCTACTTTATTTTACAATAATATATTTCAAAAACAGAATATACTCGTTATCATGTCTTGGTCATTCTATATTCTAATTCAAGTGAATCAATCAAAATCAAACGTTGTCCCAATGTATGATAAGAGGCCTTGTTGACATCCGTTTCAGATGGTGATTACCTACATCCTGAGGTGATGGGAAACTATCTTGCTCTTGATAGAAATGCTGTCCAGCCTACGAACATTTATGAACATCTGAGAATATATGAACAAATTGCCAACATGTGAAGTGATGACATTCTGCAACCAAACGGGTGTCTACTTTGTCTCACCTTGTACAAATTGTATGAAATACATGCCCAAAATTGCAAAAGATCACACGATTATAACCATCACATGAGTTTCATATTATAATTTATAACTAATATTCATCATAATTTGTCACAGAGGACAAAGTGTTGTTTATTAATCTGACCTCCATGTCAGAATGATGAGATCTGATTGGTTCACGTGACCTCGATAAGCTACTATTTATCCTGTCTGGGAGGGAAATAAATTGCTGAGTTGGTGAATATATCCCTTGTCCCTTGTACCCCGCCACAAACCAACCAGGCTGCACGTTGATTTCTGAGAGGGATAATAAAACCCTTATACACTGCTACGAAGCAAAAAGATGCACGTGTTTAAGGAGTCAGTGCAAAATACGTAACACAACACAAGTTAACCTCAGCTCAATTGAACAGTTGTTTTCTATCAATTTTTAAGGTGTTTTTAATTATTTCCCAATGGCAGATTGTTCGTTGTACGAGCGTATCACTCGGCGTATACATGGTTTTATTCATCCGCCTCGTGGAATAAAACCTAACGCGGGGCGCATAAAACCACATACACTCCTCGTGATACTGCTACATCTTATTATGATCCACCCTTATATTAAACAATGGGGGGCACGGGTGGCCTAGCCGTCTAAGGCGCCGCGATTCGCTGTGCAGAATTGCGTCCCCTGGGCACGCCAGAAACCTACGATTGTGGTCTCGAATCCCGGTTAACCCCGAATAATGTTTCTAAGTTTGGCAGCACGATACCCGTGCTCGTGGGTTTCACCGGAGTGAGAAACGTCTAAGACGTGGATCACTTCATGTTTTCCTCCCACATCAAGCTGACACGCCGTGATATAACTGGAATACTGTTAAAAGCGGCGTTAAACCCAACTCACTCATTCGCTCAATCAAATAATATACCATATCCCCCTGTCGTTCATCGTGTCTTGATACATTTTGAATTCAAAAACAGTTAATTTGCCTGGCATTGACAGAATACATGATTTATTATTTGTTTGTAATGGTAAACACTCTGAAATAACCAATCCATGTTATAGGATTGTGATGAATATGATTGTTGACCCTCCTTCCAATATTAAGCTCTTGAACGAAAAGAATGTCTGTCTTGTGGCAGCGTATTGGGAAAATTCTATCTATAATACGTGGCTGCATTATGTTACCATAGTGACAACTCTATGAAGGCCAACTCATCTTGGAATTCCGTATTCTGTGTTGTTGTTTTTTTACTTGATTGCAAACAAAGAAGTTGAAATTCGTACAGATGCTGGTTAATTCCTTACCTCACTATGCCAGAAAATGAAATATAAATGTATTCAGTTTACTATTTTATAATGTATTAACATTCTATGTAATGCCCTTTGCCACAGGTTAATAAAGCTCTTGTTTTTTCCACAAAGTTAAAATGTATTACTTGTTGTTTGATTGCACATACAAATTACTGCATACCTTTCTGTCTTCCATGTGCTGTGGAGTAGCCTCCTGGTTAAAGCATTCGCTCGTCACCACGAGGGCCTGGATTCGATTCCCCATTTCTTGTTTTCTTCACCGAGATATTGCTAGTCTATTGCTAAGAGCGTCATATAACCATACACAATCACTCGCTTCACACCCACACCCATTGAGACGCGTGAAGACCCGAGGTAGAATACAATACGTCTTCAGCAACCCATGCTTGCCCTAAAAGGTGACTATGCTTGTCGTGAGAGGCAACTAACGGGATCGGGTGGTCAGGCTCGCTGACTTGGTTGAAGCATGTCATCGATCCCAATTTCGCGGATCGAAGATCATGATACCAATCCCTGGATTGTCTGGTCCAGACACGATTATTTACAGACCGCCGCCATAGAGCTGGACTATTGCTGAGTGCGGCGTAAAACAACCAGCCAACCAACAAAACCAATTGGGATTCAGGTTCAGAAAGACATCCCTAGTGTATCGTTATTGTCGAAAGAGCCGACGAGTACAAGTGCAAACATGTAATATATTGCACACGTGTTGAATATAGCTTAGCTATAAATGGGACAACTTAAAATACAGTTTTTTTTAAGCAAGATATGTGTTATGATTATGGAAATGGTTCGGTCAGTATAATTTATATAACATCACAAGGCAAAGACAATAAATTGATTATATGTTAATCTGAAACCAGCACTGCTATGAATCACGTTCAAAAATGGATAAGGGTTATGTGTGTATGCGTGTGTGTTTGCGTGTTTGTGTTTGTTTGCTTGTGTGTGTGTGTTAGTGTGCGTGCGTGTGTGAGTGCGTGTGTATGTGTGCGTGCGTGCGTGCGTGTGTGTGTGAGCTTCAAATCACAAAGTGCATGGATGGGTAAACAGGACAAATGGTTTTCACATGGTGTAGGGTAGCCAAGTGGTTAGGAGGTTTACTCGTCAGTATATATGCCAAGCTATTTTCCAGTGTCCCCCACTGGCATCGTGATTGAATGTTGCTAGTGCGCCACACTCAACAACTCGTTTTCTTCATACGATCATGTATTGTGCCAGTGAAAGGGAAATAAATGCACCATGATCCCGCATTTCTTTGATCAATGATAAACATAATTCATCTGGACTTGGGCGAAGGGAGGCAGAAGTTTAGCACATACATACATATATACATGTATATACATTTCTTAAAGGCTATGAGTTCGTTAATCCTACTGATTCAAACATAATCAACATGTTAACAAATTTCACATTGACGCATATACACATGAACACTGTTGTGTAAAAGAATTCGTAGTTGATACTGACACTTCATATTTAGTACATATGTTAACAAGGACAGCCGTTCTATCAATCACGAACGTTTTCCTTATAGATAAGGGGTTAATTAAGCAATTTTCTTGAACATTAGGCATAGTAGCATGCAATTACTGGTAATTAGGCCTTTCTGGGTTTGATGATATTATCGATTGCACAGGGTCATAGGAGACAGGTTGTTAAATGTATCCAGTTATAAATCTTTGCGAAATAGAGCATATGTCAATGTTGTATGGAGCGAATCATTGCTTAAGTTTTCACCCAGTCCGTTCTTCCGTCAGGTTATGACAATTCATACATAAGTCAAACCATAGAACAGAATGGAAATGGACGATAATATGGCGGCCATCGTCAAGACCTGTGTTCTCCTTTGATGGAACTCGAAACCATAAACAACACAAAGACTACGAATTATTTTTAGATAGACTGACCTAAGTTATCTCCCTATAACAGCGTGGTGAAAGAACCTTGAAACGAGATGATAGCATGTACACATTATTTTATTAACCAAAACTGATTTCCACCAAAAAATATATCAAGTAAAGGTCGGAGCTAAATATCCAGTGTATCCTTCGCTACACTGAATTAGCATCACAGTGCTTTGCATACCATATGTTAATGCATCATCACTGTGCTCCTAGTGACATGCATCTTTACAATTTTAAAATATTCTAATTTCCCAAGCGCAAAGACAATGAAAACGAATTAGTAAGTGAAAGATTTAACTGAAGTAACAAATTTGAAGTCAGATTTACAATTATGTGATGCTTCAACATTGCAAAATAATCATATTCAGTTAGTTAAAGGAAATGTCGTGTGGGTGTGAAGTTTATATTCATAACAATGATGATAGTAACAGGAACAAGGAAAATCTCGCTTATCTTGTATGACTAAATATAAGTAGTATCTGATAAAATGCATGTAAGTGTGACACGACCAGTGAACGTGTTATGCCTGTATAATTACATTGTATTTTATCATAGTCGACCGCCCCTGTGAAGATCTTGAGAAGGAAAAGAACCCATGCTTGTTGTAAGAGTCGACTAACGGAATCAGGTTCGCTGACATGATTAACGCGTGCCATCGTACCTTAAATGCGCTGATCGATGCTCATGATATCACTCACTGGATGGTCTGGATAGACACACCGCCGTCATGTAGCTGGAATATTGCTGAGTGTGGCGTTAACCAACAACAACGATATAGCTATGTTTCTATGTGTGGTAATAATGTTATTTCAGTAAGGTTGTTACACCGCAACCATAATACATCAATCAGTTTACATTCCATAGCATAACTTGATGCTTTGCCTATCAAGCGACGAGTACTGTTGAATCAATGTCACAACTGCCCCAGTTCCAGTTATCTCGAACCCTGACGGCGTGGGACGTTGCTCACACGGGGAAACAGACAACGATGACATATTGTCGGCTCTTACAAGCCTTGAAGACAAGCATGGGGTACTAATTGCGTATGTATATAGAAAATGTATTTGTGAGATTTCTGGTCTGTTCTGTTCTGTTCTGAGCCCCATTTTAACCAGTAATCGCCAGGGGGAGACAAATATGATGTACCGTCGATCACTGACAAAATCTGACATCGTGTTTTATGTATTATTTGTTTTTTTGTTCATGTGCATACATGCTCTAAATTAGTTAAATTAAGGAAAATGAGTTGCATTATGTGTCATAAATCTTATAGGCATACATCTATATATTTGCATGTGTGGGGGTGAGTGTGTGTGTGTGTGTGTGTGTGGGGGGGGGGGGGGGGGGGTGTCCAGAATCCAGAGAAATGCAGGTCATAGACAGTTGTCAATTTGGTGAAGTCTTCATGCTCGGGTTCGAACACATATCAATATTCACTGCACATCGATTACTACTACTGAGCCACCCATGACCCGCTTAATGACTAATTCCTAAGTGCATACTGTAACCTTTCAAGCTAGATTAACAATCAGAGAAGAGAAAAAAGTGCTCAGATTTACCTATAAACTATTTTCAGCTAACTCGTCATTTATAACGCGTCGATATTATGTCCTGTTTGTTCTGTGAATTTGAAAATTTACTTTTAACATTACAATACATTGCGCATACAACGTATATCAGTAAGCTGGATAAGGAAAATGGCGTTCCTTGTTTTCTGAATAGGTATCAATATCGCTTGATAAGATAATATAACACGAACAGGGAACTTGTGAAGCAGGCATTCCCATACCAAGTTCCCTTAAGTCAATGCTAATAACTAGCTGTTTACATGTCGTGAAACAATGGGAGACGATTTGCAATTAAATTGTTTATACTACATTGTTGACTAATAGTGATGTGATAATATGGCAAATGATATTAAAATATAATAGAAGCAATATCTATTAGCACAACATCAGAAGGGAACACCGGGAACAGGTATCGTAGGCCTGTTGGAAATCGAACCCACACCCTTTGCAAACCTGAATACCCCTTAACCCCATGATCATTGATAATTAAATGTCACCATATTTCTCATACATAACCATGTGTATTCTCATTAACCGTGTTTATATATCCCAATGTGTAAACACACTAATGTGTGTTAATATACTATAATGTGATTACACATCAACGTGTTTCCATAATACCCATGTTTATACACTTCGACGAATGTGTATACATACCCATGCGTTTACACATTAACGAGTGTTGATACATACTCACCTGTATATACATTAACGTGTGTCTGTATTAACCCATGTATATGTATATTTATCAACATGTGTTTTAATATACACAAATATATGTGCACTTTAACGTGTGTTGAAATATACATATGAGTATACTCGTTAAGGAGTGTTTTTAAAAAATAGTTACATATAACTGTATAGGCATTTACGACATTGCTTCTCATAATGTCAGAATCAATCGACAGACAGGTTAGTTCGTCTTGGTAGTATAGATCCCCATGATTTATGTCGACGTAATATGTCCGTTGGTCGGTTTGTTGTTTAATGCCGCCCTCAGTAATATTCCAGCTATATGACGGCGGTCTGTTAATAATCGAGACCAGACAATCCACTGATCGACATCATGTGCATCGATTCAGGTAATTGTGACCGATGACATTTATCAACCAAGTCAGCGAGCATGACCACCCGATCTCGTTAGTCGCCTCTTACGAGAACCATAGTCGCCTTTTACAGCAAGCATGGTTTGCTGAAGACCTAGTCTACCCCGGATCTTCACGGGTCGACGTAATATGTAATCTGATGAAGGAACATCATTAAGCTAATTAAGTAATTTAAGTAATCGTACATAAATATGAATGCACTGGTATGTTTATACTATTTTACAACAAATCTTGAATTGTATAGGACATTTTAAATTTACTTTGTATCTAATTTGCAATATTCATGGCTATTGTTTTATGTAGTATTTACTATTGATATCAGAACTACTTACTTATTACATGATCCTATATGTCAGCACCGCGTCCTTCACCCTGCCTTAGAAACCTCAATTATACATCGACGTATCAGCTTACAGTTACACGTAAAGCAGGTCGCACACGTTTACAATAATACTACTACTGAACCACCTATGACCCTTTTTATGATATTATGTCCTGTATTTGAATACTTACTTCAACATG